CGAAATCGATTCGAAGCGAAAAAAATAATCGTTAGATTAATCGATGCATCGAAAAAATAATCGCTAGATTAATCGTTTAAAAAATAATCGTTTATCCCAGCCCTAATGGCTTCCTATCATAAAGTATGTTCTTTTTGCAGGTGGGTGGATGGACTCCAAAGTGAGTAAGCAGACACAGGCGATAGTGTGGGAGTGAGATAAGAGCCTAATGCCCAGGGACAGTGACCTCTTGGGGGGGCCATTATCCTGCCTGACATGCCCGGTTGAAGAGGCCGCTAAAAGCTCCGGCTAACTGCTGGCTCGTCCGTATAAAAGGTGAGTGAAAAGGGGAACTCAAAAACCCATGCCCCTGTAGGTAGTGGTGTCCAAGAATCAGAATCGGCACCAAAGTACATAAGAGACATGTTAGAGCCATATGAACTCACTTGGACTCCTGCCGGTTCAATCTGGATGTTTAATCCAGGTTAAAAACAGTTCTCTCTAGCTCTGCATACAACTGAGGGATTTGATCTTGACTGTGATTTTTTATGTTAAGGCCTTGTGTGATTGTTTGTATGTAAATCACTCATTAGAGTGGTGAAACTTAACTTTAACCGTTCTATTGTTTTAATGCATACATGTTTTAATGGATTTTATGTGATTTTATTGTGAAGAATGCTTGAAATGATTGATTTTACATACAGGTGGCGCTATGATGAAACAGGAATGTATGTATTCTTATAGTACAAACTATGACACAAGAGACGGAGGAAGCAATCGAGGCCAACTTTTGACTTAACGTTCAAAAACTGACATTTCATTAAAGAGAAAGACGTAAAAAGAATCTTCTACTTGACAAAAGAGGTAGATTAAGGCACTAATCTTGGCTTCTGTTGGCGCCGAGGACATGTAGGACATAAGGAGACTTTGTGTTTTAACTTTATTGATTCTTAAGTTAATGGCAAATATATAACAAGAATTGTGACATAATTTTGCTTTAAATCATATTACGACATTGTTCCCTCATCGAAAACAGACCTGGAGTTGATTTTAGCTGCATCCACACTAAAATCAGGAACTACAGATACAGAACACGTCCCCCCGCCCCTTCTGTCGCCACAGGTTTCTGATCAGGCACAATAAATCATTCTATACACCGTAACCCTTTAGGCGCCGGGTTATTTTTATCTGGCAAAATAGTTCAAAAGACTACAACTTAAATGTAAATGACAAATATCTTCAGTAAGAAAAAAAAATTGGCATGTAAGTTGATTCGTCATCTAATTGGTAGATTGTGACGTCATCAAGGTGGCGGCCATATTAGAAAATGTAAATTTCGTATTCAAAAAGCTGTAGTTTGATAGTGGTTTGAGATAAGAGAATACTGTCAACAGTCAATGTGAAATATCTTGAGGATAAAACTAAATTTGGGATAGAAAAAAAAACACCTATCCAATTTATATAATCTTTTAACTTCATGCTAACAGACCACACAAAAAGGTTCTGTCAGCACTACTAAATACTACTCATACTAAACTCATGTTCAAATGGTATTTTCCAATTAGTGTATACGTAAAACTATAATTCCCATTCCATTTGAAGCCTGGAAAGGAATTAACAAGCCCAGACTTCATAGCTCATGTCAAACGTAATAGATTTGATCAGGACGGGGATTGGAGTTAACATGGCGCCTAAACAGCTAATGTATTTATTGAAGCAGAAACAGGACTCCTCCCTAGTGCTGCTCAATCCAAACTCTACACTACATTTAATCAATGAAGAGGCCAGAGTAAACCATCCACTGGATTCATATCGATGGCATTACTTTACAACTCACCGTTTCAACACGAGACGCCACAGAAAGACGAGAAAACAGACGGTATTATTTCACAACAAACTATGTGGATGCCAGGGTTCACAAAATACTATTTTTAATGCATTCAATGTGTATCTGGAATGTTAAAACTGGTTGAATCTCATCCCAAATTAAAAAACCCAAAACAGCCCATTTGGAACACCTGGATCGAACCATTTCCTCTTCAGTTATGCTGTTATACTACTGTGACAAGGCCAGCAGATACATTTAAGATTACAGGGGAAAGCCATGATGAAAATCTATTTGGGCGCTTATGGGCTTCTTATTTTGATAATTTCGATGAAGTACACAGTCCCTGCATGAGTTTTACTGGTTTGTTTTGGTTGATATCCAATTATTGAGATATTGTTCTCATTAGTCATTGCAGGGCAAGTTTATTTGTATAGTATAGTTCATACACAATGCCTTAAAATCATAACTAAGTACATTGAATACAAGTCTTCAGTAGTATGCACAGCTAAACAGAACTTTGATTTGAAGCCTCTCTCACGTTTCAGACTGTTATGAAGTTACAAAGGCCCTGTCTGATCAGCACCCCCGCATGTAGACCAGGGCCAGTGTGGTCAGACTACACTTCTTATTCTTGTGCCTTGTAAACATACTAATTGTCAGACAGCTGGTTCTAAACCTCCACCAGAAACGCCAGTGTACAAAACTTTAACTAGTATACTGTATTAACAAACTATGAACAAATGTATAACAAAGAACAAAGCTGCTTATCTCACAACAAAATAAAAGGAGGATGGAAGCCGCCAATCTACATGCGCGCATTTCAGCTCCACGATAATGGCTCAGTCATATCGGCACACACAGAGCTGTACGTGCGGCCAGGAAGTTATTACTCTGACAGATATGAAGCCGGTTTGACACTCAAAGCCGTCAGTACACACGCGTTCTGTAGGGTACACTGATACGCAGAAATATGGTGACTTATTTACATAATGGAAGGGGCCGACGCTATACTGTGCATGGTGGTAATGGGGGAACAACACATGTAATCGCACCGGCTCCCAAACCCAGACTCACGCAGAACCTTTCCATTTCCATTTATCTACATGCTTGCGTCATAAATGCTCTGATAGACTGGACTGGCTCTTTCTACCTCATGCCTTCATGTCGTTTTGCAGGCAACGTGCTCATTATCGGCTATTTTTGAATGTTGTTTGGCTGGACTGTATACAATGTGCTCTGTGGTACAGTTGTTTTGAAAGTGTCACTTATAGTTTCACCAACAAATACTTTTTCAAAGGTGAGCGGCGACAAAAACTAAAAGTCTTTTATGATATCCCTGTGTGTGGCTCCAATGGAGTTGCGTGGACACAGTTCTATAATGCTAAAGTTTTGTCACGGACCAGAAACAAAACAGTTGGTTGTTGATTACCTCAAATGTCACCTGGGGTTAGTACATTGACGCTCTGTCCTTTTGCAGTGTGGATTAATAAATAAGCAAAGGCACGTTTATTTGTATGTAGAGTTCATACAAATATCAAAATCAAGATCAATCTATTTTTGACCTTTATTTAATTGAGATTTCTGATTCTCTTTCTCAGGGGAGTCCTGGCCCCAGAGGTTGGAGGGCGGGAGTGGGGTCAGGGTAGGGTGTTGCAGGGGACTATTGTACATGATTTTAACGGTACGGGAAACATGGAGTACCTGGAGAAAACCTACACCGATTCGGGGAGAACATGCAAACTCCACACAGAACGTTCTGGGGGTGGAATTGAACCCAAAAGCGAGTATGTTTCAAGAAACATGGTAAGAATGTGTGTATCATGCATTATCAGTGTTGGGAGTATCTAGTTACTTGTGTAATATATTCCTATGTTCCTTAACAGTCAAAATGTATAATCAAAGTTTCATTAATTTGAACTCCCATTATCTTTGTTTACTCACTGAAACTATAAGATCATAAATAGTTATTCTACTTTGTGTGGAAGTGTATGAAATAAAACACCAATGTCATTAATGTCATTTAAAAAAAAAAAAACAGAAATATTGTAATAAAAATGTATGATTAGTTCATTTTCCAAAACCGATAAATGCCCAAAAAAAAAAAAAAATAATAATAATGACAGGCTTGAAATTTGCCTTAGTTCACCGACTTATTTTTTATGAAAATACAAATCTATTTTAATGCTGTACATTTGGAAGATTCACCCCTTCTCAAGCAAGTTCTTTCAAATGTACAGGTTAAAGAGTGTTACTTGAGGAATATATCATTTGTATTCCTGTTGTCACGTGGTTGCATGAAGAAAAAGGGAACCCAAAATGCAGGACTGAAAATCAAATGTAATTTAATAAAATCGAAATCCAGAGAGACAAAGGCACAAAAATCCAGAACTGAAAAACTAGACAAGACAAACTTGGTAGAGACAATGGACGGACAACAAGTGGGGAAAAGCACAGGGTATATATACACACACAGGAGACACAGGTGGATCACATTAGGGCGGGGCTAACAATCATCAGGACACACAGGAAAACTCAAAATACAAGAGAACTAAAAGTAAATAAAACCAGGTTAAAATAATCCAAAAAGTCCACACCATGACACCTGTAACTTATATTATAAACATATCACACAGTTAGACCCAACACCGTATATTATATCAGCCACAAGTAAAATGCATGATTTTGATGCTTATTTATCCACACTGCAAAGCTACGGACGACAGGTAAACCAGAAGAAACTCTGCGGAGGACGGAGAGTTTCTCTTGGGGAGATTTCAATTGCGCTGTTTTAATGCAAGGCAGCCCATGATGGGCTGCCTTGCATTAAAACAGCGCAATTAAAATCTCCCCAAGAGCGGATAAAATATGTTCTGATTTGACGTAAGAAAACACGTTTAATTGACAACATTTAGCAACCGTGAAAGATGAGTATAACAAAAAAGGCTCCAAAATATGGCCAAAACTTTGAAATCTCTGTGTAAACTTCCAGAAAGACTGTACAGTACATTGCATGGAAACATGAAGGAACCTGTGAAGCCAAAAGAAACTTAAGAAAACATAAGAAAGCCTCCTGTCCATACCCACTCCTAATACTGCAGCTGAGAAATCTGATGAAATATGTATAAACCGAAAGAATTCCTCTCGCGTCTCTTTGCTCCTTCTGATTTTTCCCGTCTTCTGTTGAAAGAGCCAGATGTTGCACACAGCTGGCAGCGCCTCACAGGTCGAACAGCCAGCAGAGAAAGACAATGAGGTGCGAGACGTTTTTCAGACCGACTCAAGCCACAGAGGCAGGAGGCCGGAAGGTACGGGATCGCTCTACAAGACACCAAAGAAGAAGAAGAAGGAGAAGAAGGAGAAGGAGGAGGAGAAAGAGAAAGAGAAGGACAAGGAGAAGGAGGAGAAGGATTCAGATTCAGATTCATTTATTTGCCATTTGCAGTAAAACCATATTGGAAAAACTGTGCAAGACTACCCCAGTGTGCACAAGACAACACACACCAGAGCTCTTGCCACGGCGCCATCTCTGCCAGAAGGAGAAGGAGAAAAAAAAAGAAAAGAGAAAGAGAGGGAGGATGAGAAGGAGAAAGGAAAGAGAAGGATAAGGAGAAGGAGGAGGATGAGGAGAAGGAGAAGGAGGAGGAGAAAGGAAACATAAAGAGATGGAGAAGAAGGAGGAGAAGGAGAGAGGAAAGAGAAGGAAAAGGAGGAGGAGGAGTAGGGGGAGGAGGAGGAGGAGAAGAAGAAAGGAAAGAGAAAGATAAGAAGGAGGGGGAGAAGGAGAAAGGAAAGAGAAAGATAAGGAGGAGAAGGAGGGGGAGAAGGAGAAAGGAAAGAGAAAGATAAGGAGGAGAAGGAGAAAGGAAAGAGAAAGATAAGGAGGAGAAGGAGGGGGAGGAGGAGAAGGAGAAGGAGGAGGCGAAAGGAAAGAGAAAGGAAGAAGAGGAGAAAACGAAGACGAAGAAGAAGTGTAAAAGTCTTGACTCCGAAAAATCCTGCTGCAGCTGTGATGTCACACTGTGAGCTTCGTAGCTGTAAGAGGACAGTAGTGTGTGTGGAAACGGGGATATATCTGTTCTGATTTTATTTATGTTTTCCACTTTTGAGTATTCATCAAGTCACGTCAGCAAAGGAAGTTTACACAGCAAAAAATGATAAAATATGGTGCTTTTTATCTGTCAATATGTTTCAAATTAAGATTCATTTTTCCAAATTTAAGCCATTTCTGACTTTTTTTCATCACTTTTCCTTTACTTTAGATTGTTAGTTTTGCACACAATCTAAACTGATGAGATTACTTTTCTGTATGTTTTGTTGGCATCATCAAACATGAAAGCTGTCGTGAAGTGGCTTTCTGCGTACACGTTTGGATGAGGAGAGGATATTGATTCACTCTGACGGGGCCGGGATAGCTCTAAATATTTCAGGGATCACTCACAGAGGACTGCAGCAAACTGGAGGTTTAATAGTGGATAAATGTAGCCCGACACTGGGTCAAAAGTGCAGGGCTACGGCTAAAAATATTTCTCCGAGCTGCAATGGATACAGGCGAAAGAAACAGCCACATTGCCCCAGGACAGCGGATCTGCATTTGGAACACACCAGGCAGATGTTTTTGTGTGTGGAGAGAAGCGGAGCAGCTTATTCCAACAAACCTGCTGTGATTTGCACCGTGGACTAAGCATTAGCTGTAGAAGGAGCTAGCAGGTTGGCATTGTCCATTTGTGTACAGTGTATGGTTTAAGATACATCTAAACATTAAAGGGCACATACAAGCCATTTATTCAAGTAGTATGTATGCAAAAAGGGAAAAAAAATAGTAGCTGTGCATGTATTCCCCTGCAACGTCCTTGAAAAAATAAAAATGTAAACAGATACTTAGTGAAAGACTTGAAATGAAGCTAAAGATATAGGGTTAGGGTTAGGGTCCAATATAGGTTGGAATGAGGGGCACACCACACAAGATAAGTGCATATTAAGTATTGCACAACTCTATTCTTAGTTTGGGTTAGGGTTAGATATTCCAAGTTAGTGGCGCTAGACAATACATTTAGAAGCACCAGATGTAGTTAAAAAGCTGCAGTAGGAATGTCCACGTGCATACGCTGGATATTGGAAAGTGCTACTTAGCCAAATTAGCTTGATCTGTTTAAGGTTATCTCTGTCCAGGTTCAAGTAAATACCACTATGATTGTTCTCAGCCCATGGGCAAAGTAATAGAGTGAGTACGGGACTCTAAGCAACTTTGTGAGCAAAAGAAACACAATGTTGATGATTCATTGTTGGGTTTAGTATTGCATCAGTTTAAACAAAGACACGTGTATTTTTTAACCAGAGAGTGTGACGCTCATAATTCCAACTGTGCAAAATTACGAGAAGATTGCAGTGTAATTTAAGGGCGGCCGAAGAGAATACATCTGATACAGTATAGAAAAGACGAGGCAAGAATGGATCGAAAGTTATTTGCCGGATAATAGACCAAAATTATAACATAACGGTTGAATTCTAGCCTGTTTTATAGTTATTAAAATTATTCCATACATCATCCCAGTAAATTTTTGTGAACATTCCATGGGTTTGGCAATACATTTTAAGCTATTTTATGAATTCAAACAACACAATTTTGTCGTTTTTTCCCAGAGTATTTCCCCGACTAGTACCGCTAACTCGAAACGGTATTAGTTATGCGCCACATCTGTGTTTTATCAACCAAACAAGCACATATTGAAATAGTGATGGAGCCATTTGTAATTAGAATTGAACATCTAATTTTTGCTATCGTCGCTTTTTCTTTCACAGCCTCGAGGGAATACTACGAAGATGTGTTGACTTTTCATGTGTGGAAAGCAACAAGCTGTCAGACCAAAAACTATTGGAGGCAAATTAGAATAAATGCTTTTAAAAAAACCATCTCCATTTCAGCAGAAAGTGAGTAAAACAAGTGTTGATTGACTGGGAAAAAAAATAATGCTATCATCGTTAATCTTGGAAAGCCATTATCAGACTAATACAGGGAATTAGTCAAGTGAAATTGAGCTGATAAATTGTCAAGGAATCCCATTTTCTTATTTTTTTATTGTTCAATCATAGCTCAAATAATTTCATGTAAACTCCTGTAATTAATACTTTTGATTTTTAAAGAATTGCATATTCTTTCTTATACAATGGAAGGAGGTGTTCTAGTTTTATGACCTCAATTGTTGAGCATAAATTGTATCTTGTTGTGTTTGGTGATGAAGTTAACGTACAATATCTGCGGGAGATGTTATAAATTTTTACTAAAGCCTTTTCTAGATCAGCATAACCATAGAATAAGTAGCTCCTGCACCTGTTTCGTGCAGGTGCAGAGATAAAGTAGGCCCCATTTCCCGCCCTTGGTCTCTTTTGACCCACATTTGAAGCTCTAATTACCGTAAATAAAAACCTCTGACTCACGTGTTTCAGCAAGCCGTTAAAGAGAGCGTTTATGGCCAAATAATAGGATCTTGATTTTTTGGTTCGTCTCGATAATGATATTCTGCTACTAAAGGGCAATCTGTCGGGAGTGAGAATTGAGGTCACAGCATTGCAAAAAAAAAGTGATTGGACTAGAATTTTTACCACAACGCTCCATATACATTTTTTTCTGCTTTGATTTTTCCGTTTTTTTTGCAGCCTGATGCAAAACGGAAAGTTGAGGTGTCTAACTTTTTTCTTTCATAAATAATACATGCTTTCGTCTTGTAAAACTAAAAATGTTTTGCTGTACATACAAAATAGGTACCCTTACATGTATTTACCTGTATGTGGAGTAATATAAACAGTGTTACTATATACTTTTATATACTTTTATAAAATAAAATAAAACAAGAACAGATACTTAGTGAAACGTGTGTTGTGTTCATGTTGATCCTGAAACCTAATTTTAGGATATTAGACAAAAGATTGACATTGCATATTGTGTTTACATGTGAAAACTAGTGATAAAACCCAAAGCACACAAATTGTACCAGCGCTAAAAATAAGCATTGAAATTGAAAATGAAAAGCAGCATTACAATACTAAAATGTAAAATAATTCCAGTCCACAAAAGTACAATGGTCAGATGTGTTAACCTCTACTCTATCTAAAACCAGAACATTTCTCTGGACGGACACACCATACATTCTTTATGCCTCTCGCTCTTGTCCTGTCTGTTGTAGCCCGCAGCAGCTGTTAGATTGATCCAGTCTTGCCTTGCATTCCCTAAAGCCAGGGATCGATCAGCCCACAGACAGGGGAGCAGATTTGGGGGAGGGGGGTGAGGGAATGGGCACCCTGGTGGGTCTGTCCTCAGGGTGATGTACTCACGTCAGCTTTTACCATGTAACTGCCTCGGAGACGATGGAAGTGCACACGCCGCACATGTCGGATTGAGGCAGCTATATATAGAGCTGGAATGCGGTGTTCATTTTTGAGCAAGGTCAAGTAAAAATGGAGGAATGGTGCTATATGTAAAATGTTCAGTGTGTACATGCTTAACCGCAGTAGTCTATACATGTAGCTAGTAGGAGCAATCTTTTTCTATGTTCCGGGGGCAAATCCAAGCAGCTACAGTATATATACATAGGCCAATGCATGATCCATGATTGGTTATGATAGCAATCCTTCAGTCATTTCCTATTAATCATGCCATACAATTTTACCATTTCATATTTTGAGTAAAACAAATATGTAATTGAACATATGTAGGGCCATTTTAGCCATTGTATCTGCTCAACAAAGTGAGTCCATCTCCAAGAAAGTGTGAGAACCATGAAAGTTTCATATATACCCTTTTTAACCAAAGCTAATGCTTCTGTATAAGCAGTTGTGTCAGTCAAATAGTATGCCATAGGATTGTAATAGTAATTTTATTTTTCAAATTTACCCTATCAGTCATACAGCACAGCACAAATCACTCAGCAACAATATGCCAGCAAAAACACTCTCTGACCCTACACCTCTGAATAGTACATTATGTCACAGGTAGAACATGCATTGAGAATATGAACATCATATTGAGTTATACGACACAACATTTATTTAGTAATGCCAAATACATTAGGAAATTAAGATAAGATAAACTGTATTGATCCCCAATGGAGACATTTACAAATTAGAAATTATGGATTAGTCCTAATGCAGGGATAAACCACTACAAAACTAAACTGTGAAGCAAAAATGTGAGTTTTTCTTTTGTTGTGGTACATCCAAGCCTCCTTTTGTCTTGTCTACAGTGTAACATTTCAGCCCAGTCAGTGACTCTGCAGGAACTCAGCGACTCTGGATGGAGTGCTCAGATTAGGAGGATAGAGTTTCCACAGGTGACCGCGCGGCCCAGTCATCGGCTCAGCTTTCACTCAGAACATTTGGAAAGCTGTGCCTTGTGTGTAAACGGCTGAAGGAGAGGCTCAGAAATGTCCTTGTGTGATCCAAGCTCAGGTGTAACACAAGCCTTGAGACTAGAGCTGTCCGTGGTCCTGAACTGGATTTAATGTGGAGGATAATATCTAATTTTGACCGTGTTTTGAACCTAGCATTCAGTGCATATATTACTAGTTTGATAAAATTGTACATTTTAGCAATAAATAACTCATCAAAATGTGCTTTTGTGACATGCTTAAATTCTTTATATTTATATATTAGTAGTGCTTTTGTTGGGGCTTGTTTTGTTGTTTTTCCTGTGTTACACCTGCATCGGTCTGGCAACAACAGTGGATTTACTTTTATCTTGAATTCACTGTCCTTGCTTCCCCAGTGTTATTATTTGCTCTCAGCAGAGTCAGAAAATCCCTTCACTTAACGACAAAGATGTGATCGCCGACACCACTGATAATAATGCATTTATATATCTTTAATGAATTGACATTTTACAGCTACCCGTTGAAAGTTTGAGCATTGAGCAGATTAGTGAGTTGCTGATGTCACGTAACTCAAAGAAGATTCCATTAGGACACAAAACAAATTGGAAAGTGGAGTGTTTACTGTAAAGCCGACAATCAGAATATGTACTGCTTTTAGAGAGATTAAATAAGGGGTTACTTTGTGGCTCAGACAAAAGCAAGATTAAGGCATTCATTAATTAACAATGGGCCAGGCGCGGTTTCATTAAGGACAATTGGTTCTTAAACAATGAGGATAACAGCAGGATTTGAAGGCGCTGTCTGTCAAAGCAAGATTTCAAAGCGGCAAAAAATGACAATTAAAAAATGGATGGAGGTTAGTGAGTGAGTTCTGTGTGCTTAAGAATATGAGAAAAGTCAAAATGATTGGGACAGAATGTCAAAGTCACATTGTATCCTATCTAAAGCAAACATCAGGAGTTGCTATCCATCTGTATTTCTTTTTATTGTATTTATTGATTTTAAGCCTTAGAACAGGTATCAGTTTTGTAATTTAAAGTATTGACATAATATGGATGATTATACATTATACAGACAGACATATATGTACATTTTGTAAACATTAATTACTGTTGAAGCCCGAAATGGAGTGGACTTTCTTCAGAGAATCGGTGCTCGCCTTTCCCTAGTTCTTACCTGTGACGTGTTTATATAGTGCATCATCAGTCCAAATGCCAAGTCTAAAATTGTTAAGTTCAATACATTTTTTTGCACACTCTATGATACTAAAATTGACCTGTTCACACCAGCCATATCAGATCACTGCTAAGTCAAGCCCTCGTCGCTTTGAGTAATACAGAAAAAAACACATTACATAACAATTTTTCCTCTCAAAACACCATCATTGAAGTCTATGTTGGTATATTAAGAGACACTTTGAAGAAATGTATTGATTTGGTCACTTGGGTCGGCTTCACAATATCTGAAAAGTACATCTGTATGGAGAAAAAAAAAAACAGAATAATATTAACTCACTACTAGCCGCGACAAAGAGCTTCTATAACTCATCACAATCCGAAGCCAAGAAGTCAAAAGCAAATACAGATATTGGGAATCATGTTTTCTTCATATGTCTCAGATACAGAGCCACAGGGAAAAACAAAGTGGATATTTTCTTCCTTTTACAAACATATCCACTTGATCTTCGATTCAAACTCATCCTTAATTTCCTCAAGCCTTTGGTGCCTGGCTTTCTGTTCACAGTTAGTAAAAGCGCTCAGCCAGGGAGAAGGGAATCAAACGGGAGAAACAACATCATAAAAGCGAGGCAAAAAAACAACAAGGAGGAGACTCTGGAGAGGCTCGGGAGGAGGTCTGGAGACAGCATGGTGGGATTAAAATCTATTTCAATCAATACATACATGAAAGCCCACACTTACACACTCGCAAATTATGCTCATGATGTTGGAAAAGGAAGAAAACACAGACCACAACTGTTTATCCCTGGGTCAAACTTTAAAGTACTTTAAAGAAAAAGAGAGATTTTCAAAGTTGGTCTACCTAGAAAAATACCATTTCATGAGGTTGAGTTTTGTAGCTATTGTGAGCTGTGGTAAGACTCATTGGGAAGTACTTCAACACACACTCTACAATTGGATTCACTACTTAACAGAACAATCTCCATGATCTTGTATCCATGGCACATTTTGGACATCCTTCTCACAGATCTGAACATGCAACCCTAAGTGAGCTGGCTGTGTTTCTTTTGCAGCTACTAAGGTGAAGTTTTGTATATGGATGTTGTCTTGGTCTTGCTCAGTAAAAAACAGCTATTAAGGTTTAAGGTATATTTAGCTATACTATTAATTCCTGTAAGGCAGTCTTTTAATCTCAATAGGATTTTCTAGTACCCACATAATTAACATATCTACAGGTATCCGAAAATGTCATACCCAGTTACCCCCAACATTATTATTATTTACAATACATATTTGAAATGGCCCATACCTGTCCGTCCCTCATTTTACCACAAGCCTAAAGCCAGCTTTCAATCACTGCCAATTAAACACATTTACTAAATATATGTTAATTATAGACCTAATTGAGACAATCTAGTGCAGGGCCCTTGCGTCACAAAGGCTTCATCCATGTGTGTGTATTCCTAAAAACAGAGAGTGTGGGTTTAATCGCTGCTTTGCAATTCCAGACAGTACAACACAATACAATTTCAATGCAATAAGAACCCTCATTGTCCATTTGTTGTGTGAACAAGAGCACATAAAAAACATTACACACACTACACATATCAAAAGAAGACAGAGAGGCCGCAGACGTGCAAATACAATCCACGTGTCAGATTGAATTGTTCCCTTTCGAGCTTCGAGTTTAGCGCTAAACAAATGAGTTTCTAAAGTGGTACATTGTCCAACAGCAAAAAGTCGGCCCGACACAAACAGAAAACCTGCTTTATACTCTTTTAGTTTTGAAATCACTTTGTTTCCTTTCAAATCGCTGTCTTGCAAAGTGTGTGTGTGCGTGTGTTGTGTGTGTGTGTGTGTTGTGTGTCTCTGGCTGCGCTTCTGCCTCTTCCTCAGACATGCAGATGCCACGCTGCAGCTCCAGACTAAGTGATTCCACAGCGCACGCTCTGGTTGCTGGAGATAGCGGAGACACTGTGTCACTGCTGTTAGCACAAAGGCAGCGGGGACTGGAGGGACCTGAAGGAGAGGAGGAAGAGGAGGAGGATGAGGAGGGGAAGCCGCGACGTGCAAAGGGAAAGACACCCAAAGTGCATATTATTAAAGTGCTGGAGGTGTAGGGTGCATGAGGTGATCGATGTATGAGGAACTCAATGTTTAATAACGGGGTGGGAAGGGTGTGATTAGCACGACTGGGATGTCAAAGAGATTCCAAAGATTTAAAAATCATGGAACTAACTAAGTGACTTGTTGAGGTTAGAGTTAGAGATTAAGATTTAGATTAAGATGGGGACAACGGGTGAAAATGTGAAATTATGCTAGATCTGGCGCATTTACACTTAGCGCTCAAGGCATCAATGTCGATGAATTATATTAGAAGGATAATAATCTAATTATTATTATTATAAGGAAAGAAAATCTCCAACTTTAGACCGACAAAAAAGCAAGACTTAAAGGTACACTGTGTAGTTTTTACTCCCATCTGGCATTGATTGATCATGTATTGTAATTCACGGTACTAAGGTAGCTTCGCAGGACAATACGTCTTTGAGAGTGGTCCCCAACTCCCATTCAAACTCCTTTTTGCCCTTATCAACCATTGTATCACAAGTCCTGACCAAGATTCGGTAAAAAAAAAACTAAGCTTAGGGAGAAGGGGAAGGATTTAATAAGCTTTGGCTTCTTCCTAGCCTGGCCATTGCCATCCGTACACTCCGCTCAATCATCATTTCACTGCATGTAACGTCTGGGTCTGGTCCCTGTGTTAGCGAATACAATCGGTCGTATTTCGACCGGCTCTCAGAGAGCGCGGAAGGCGGGTGTTTTAGGTCGATGCCGGCGACGTCAAGAGTTTGCGCCAAATGGGCAGGTTGTAGTTTGGTAATGGCGAAGAATGCAATACTAAAGTAATCCGGTCTGGTTCTATCAAGAAATTGAAGCAGGAGCAAGAGGAATGTTTAGCAAATGTAATCGCTGGTCAAGATTGTGGCGCTACTCCCCACGGGCTCCATTAGCAGCAAAGGAGATGGCTAGGCTAAATACTAAATGCTAACAACACACTGAGGGCGCACTACATACGTCACGGTAAACTCAGATCAAATCGTTTCAATCTGAAAAAGACATTTCCTTTTTTTTTTTTTTATCTTATATTTATTGCAGTTTTTTAACCCTAACCCTAACCCAGTTTTTTTGGGATTATTGTGTTGTTTTTTATCCATGTTCAAATACATTTCCATTCACTCATTCATTCAAACTAATCATTTACAAATCACTAATATCAACCAGACAAATGGATGCTTCTTCAATCACACAATAGCAGTATTCATATGTGAGTGAACTGACAAACTACCGGTCCAGTCCCAATGCAGCCTTCCATCAATTCCTTCTGCAGCATTAAGGACAAAATACTTGCGCTTTTTCCCCACTTTCTCTAAAGGGACTGTCAAACGCGCCTGACCCACTTCTCTATGTGTCAGTTATCAGCCGGCACCATCCAGTCTGCGGCACCTGGACGACGACAAAGGCTAAAAATACCGCCGCCCCCCCCCGCTGCTCATATGACGATGGGCAGGATACGGACCGAAGTACATCGATCCAGGCTCTACTCCGGTTTCTGCTGTTTACCCTGTTTAATTATGTCTTTGTATGACCCAGATTTATGTTACAGCGTGGGGGATGTTTTAGACGTGACACCAGCCACAGGTGACGACGAGGAACGGCGCTGGTATGTGCAGCTGTCAGACTGATCCTGTTTCTGTGGAAGTGTTTTAGTTAAGAAACGAGAGCGCTGCAGGGACAGTGTTGGAAATCTTACTTATAGAAATGTGGCAAAATGTGTACCTAGGTCAAGGCTGGAGGTTTACCAATGAAAAAGGCAAAAGGATTTTTAGCGTTGTGCCTGAACAGATGCTCAAATAAATGAATAGATACAAACATACATAAACAAATAAATAAGGGTTGCAGGAAACGATTATCTTATTTAAATGGATTTATTCCTATAATGAAGAAAGTAGTTTAATAACTGTTTCATATAGGTTAAGTATGATAATAAAGGTAATAGTATATAAAGTTGTATTTAAATTAAGTTAGCCTAGACATTATTTTTGCATAGAAATATCTTAAAGAGACGGCATGCAATATTGTCCCTTTTGAATTACATCATCATCTTAAAAAGTAATAACACCGAAAATTAATCAAAACCTTGACCAATAAAAAAAAAAAATAACACTAAAAATTAAAAAAATAACACTATTTAAAATACACTATTGCCACCAAAGACTTGATTTGTCAAATTTAAAAAATCAAATTCCCAAGTCCCCAACAATGCAACTTTAAATTGTGTGAATTTTATGACATATCCAAGAAAAAAAAAATGTTGTTATGGACGACCACTAAATGAACTGCATGTCGTGGCTTGTAAAACGTTGACCAAAGCACTGAACCTGAGGCTTTAGTCCTTCTTTATGTGGGAGTCAAAACATGCCCAGTACACGTAAAGAACTTTTTGTTTGTTTTTTTTTTTTACACAAAGTCAAATCTATTGGCTATACATGCCTCGCTCGATACAGATGGCCCGGACATTTTGCGATTATGGCGATCTGGAGAAAGAAAAGTGTAGAAGAGGATCTTGGACATGTCACAGTTTTGAGGTGCCAACTGGCCACGACGTCTTTGTGATATTAGAGAGACCAGATGGACCAACAAATGGGCATCACACACAGAGGGAGAGAGCGAAAAGGTCCTCACTGTAAAAGCAAAATGTCATTGTAATAAAAGACTTCAGTTACTTCTCTAATCCTTTGGCTTTTGAACGCCGCGCCAGCACAAAGTCGTAAGTCTCCTGTGTATGCTGTCATTTAAATATAAATCAAGTTTAGTAAGTAATAATTCAGTTTAAAGGTTAGACGGCTAAAAAGAAAGACTGGGACACATTGGCAATACTTTCGTCTATTAGGGAAATGCATGTTTTCTGCCAACAATGTAAAATAAAATCTTTTTTATCCAGCATCGATCCTGTCATTAAAAAACAAAAAGTCAGGCTGACATTTCTGAATGTGGGTGTTATGCAGGAAACATATAGAGACATGGGAGAACATGCAAACTCCGCAAGGAAAGGTCTGGAGGTGGAATCGAACAAGAGCTTACCACTGCTCCACAGCTCAATACTATTTATACTATAATTGTATGGATGTCTTATAACTATTTTGGCTATTCTAAAACTTGTTTGTCTTATTTCCCATTCCCATTTTCTACCCCTTTATTAGTCCATTTCTGGGTTGGAGGAAATGCTCATATATTTGTCTTTCAGAGGGGGCTTCGGGCAAGTTAAGTGTCTTGCTCAAGAACACAACAACAACACATGAGAGGGAGCAGTTGGAGTCAGTCTCGTGGGGGGGATTGAACCCACGACCTTCAAGCCCAAAGACCAATGCTCTGCCAACTGAGCCACTGAAAACAAAAAACAGCTGGAACAGAATAAAAGTTATGAGCAAACATCCAAGCTGCCCTTATATTGTGCACGGGATATTTTTTTAAAATCTCAGATATTGATATACAAAGTGTCATATCCAGAACATGACTCCGACACTTCCACCTGAAGAAGTCTGTGAACTTTATGTTGAGAACCGCTGCTTGAGGCCAGCACTTCATTACTGGCATTTTCTCCTACTGTACCGAGCTGAACGTTCACCTTCTGCAGCTCTGACCCTATCGAATGAGGGGGCAGCGTTGATACCGCATTAGTCATGGGATTGCGAGCAGAAACATGTGTGAGTGGGAAGAGACTGAGAAAGGATCCGATGAGAAGGAAAAAAAACTGCAAAAAAGGCAAAAGGTACTGTATTTACATCTCACGGCCAATTCAACGTTCCGTCTGAATCTTCCTAATATTGATTTAATTGGGTTTTTTTTGCTCTATCCTCTCCTAACCTTGAATATGCATGAAGTTTGCGCAGGCAGAGAACAACCCTGGCCTAATGTAATAGTTTAAAAGTTAGTGCAAATAAAGTTACAGGGCAAGCAAGTTGATGTCTATTTATGACTCGCAAAGAGCCACGGGGGAAATGATTCAATGTTCTTTCTTGAGTGAGGATGCTTGAGGTTACTTGCAACGGCATATTAGTGGCAATGCAATATGGTAAGCAGAAGTACTAGTGCAACAGCCATTTTTTCAATCCATTCCAATCCAATTAATATTAGCAATGGTTATCTCTTGGTGAGATCAGCTGTTTTCTCCAACAATGGTGATGGTAAAACGGTAAAATCTAAGTCAATCCAAATGATGAATGTATGTATCGGAACATTGTAAAGCACTTTGGGAGACCTTGGTTCTGTCAACATCATTAACATGTATCGGTACATCGCTAGCAAACATAGCATTTAAAAAGGATATTTTAGTTTTTATCATTGTATTTAATTGTTTATGTTTAACCAAGCTAACTAACCCAACATAGGCTATGTGTGGTGGGAAATATTGATATCTTCTCCATATCAAATTAAATCTAGTTTATTGAGGCCTTTACCTAGAACTAAATGCATTTAAGTAGTTTAGATGTTTAGCAGTTCACACAAGTCGGCATCCTCCGCTAACCCACTGAAGAACATGACTACAGATGGCTGGTCTGGGATCGTGACGAGTTTATTGTTGTGTTACAGCGTAATTGACTTGACTTGAGTTTTCCCAGCGTTCACATGGTTTTGTACTCAGGCAAAAATACAAAAGCTTACCTCAGCATCTGCCATGGTGCCAATAGATATACAGTAGATATATACGTTATTGATCCAAAAAGGAAAATGTGTATCGGTCCCTTGCTCACAATCAAACAAACATAGGATAGAGTTAAAAGGATAAAAGACATCATTAAAAAAGACAATAAAATAAATTAAAATCATTCAAAGAGTGAAGTTAAGGCACTGCAAAACAATTCTCAAGACCTCTCCCTCCTCCTTCCCCCCTGCCCCTCCCTGAAGTGGCTTTGTTATAGAGCCTGATGGAGAGATAAGTTTACCTCAACCTCGAGATAACAAAAACATAAAAATTAGACCTCTGCATCTGTTGTATAATATCGAGCTCAGGAGGAGAGAGAGCGCGCACGGCTCTCCCCGGCATTTTTCTCTCCAA